GAGATCTCGCCGATCCTACGCATGAGTGCAAAATAAGCTGCTTCATCCTCGAGAGAAGAGTTAGGGGGCCTATAGCAAATTCCTATCACGATCTTTCCAGTTGCCCCACCGATCTCGCACCATAAGTGTTCGATTGCTCCACAGTTAGCCGAAGTGAGATCTTCTCTGACGCGAACGCCCAGTTCGGTTTTAGCGTACAACACGACTCCTCCCCCCTTAATGCTGCTTTACTTCCAGGAAATATAATTATTTTCCCTGGAATAAAGCTGCATTATCGGATAGTTCTCTGTTCAAAAATCCACGAAAAAATTTCGTTCACGGCTGTAAGTGGAGAACGATCTCTGACTCGCCTTGGGAAAGATTCATTTCAGAATCCTCTGCATAGTGCACCAAATGCACAAATCATGCTCAGAATAAAACAAGCTCGGCAAAAAAGGTCAATGAATTTTTTTCATGCTATAATTAATTTTAAAATACCTCATTCCGCAATACCGCATTACGGTGGGTCGCGAACTTTTTAGGGTGTCGGCAAGTGGGCCGCAGTTCAAAGAAGTTGGGAACCGCTGGCCTAACCCACATGGGCCAGCGATTTTCAATCACCATTAAATCCTGGAAATGCTGGGGCTGACTATATTAAGAAGGAAAAAGAAAATTCGGAACCAGAGAAGGAAGTGGGAGGGAAGACCGGGAATGTTTTTTCTCTTTGTTTCAGTCCTCAGCTCGCTTTCTTCCGGTGTACGTTGTGAACGTCAACTGTTCTTTTGATCGCGTGATTTCGAAATGTTAAACCTCCACTCTCCATATATTAGTGTCTTTCCCGATAATGAATCCATTTAGCATGAAAGCTAAAGTTTTTGTATTTGACTTCTCGCATGCATTGCATAATTTGCATTTCACTTCAGAAACAATTCTCAGCCATCATCAAATCAAATAATTAGGTGCACAAAAAGTGTTGTACCTGATGAGGAAAGAGGGCGACAAACTGATAGGTCATGATTTTTAGTGGCTGATCTCTGGCAGATACATAAGGAGAGAAAATATTGGAGTACGAATATGACTTGAATTCTCGGTTCATTCGTGAATTCGTGAACCTTGGTAGCGCTTATTCTCCTGAATGGAAATAGTGCTAATGTCAGATGTAATCTCCTAGAACATTGGTGTACAATAGGATTTCGATGCACGCCAAACTTGTGGCGATCAGGTCACTATTCACCACATTATACAAAATATATGCACTATTAACATAAAAAAGAATACGCAATCTTTTGAAAGTAGGTTTGAGGTTGTAAACCGTCATCAATCAAGACTGATAGACAGTAAAATACTAAGTAAAATGTAGCGAGTGGCGAACGTATTGGACTCCTTGGTCCTAGAAGATGGGCGTTCAACGTTAGTAACAGCACACATTAAAAAATAAGAATGGTGCAGGCCGGATAGCTCCAAATATATTACTTTTCATAAATCAGAAATACAATGAAAAGAACATTTACGATACAAATGCATTTTAAATAAAACAAACTAAATGCATTTTATTTACTTGAATGCGAAAAGTGATGTGACGTATCCAACTTGCGGACTGGATCCGTCACACCCTTGGACACCCCAATCCTAGAGCCTACGGTCATTACTCGCGATGTGACTTCTCGCATGCAAGAGATGAATCGCAAGAATATCCCATTGGTCCAAGCATCACTCAGTGGTTCTCCCCGTCACACATTTCACTTGGAACTTACCGGTGATATTTGGGAAGAACTCGTCACCGACTCTAGGTATTCAAACGCTTCACCACCATTCCTAAGGTGATGAAATGTCATTGTCAGTAAAAGATGTGAAAATTGCATCAATGTGGTCAGTTTGAGCCCCACCCAAAGGTCGTGAAATAAATATTAACATTAAAACTGCTAAACCGTATGATTTTCGTTTTTTACAATGCAAAAATAAATTATAAATAGAAGAAAAGATTATGGAAGAAAGTATCAAATTCACCTCGTATTTCTCGGTAAACTAACTTTTGGGACACCCTGTATATAAAAAAAAAATATCAAGCGCGGCATCAATAGAGACCTTCCCAGGTCCCGTTTCGAGTCATTCCAACTAATTGGAGACGCTCGATCGAGCTGTTCAGAATAAATTAATCCATCGATCTCGAATAGCCGTTCTGCATCAAGAGATTATACTAGCATTCAGTCATTCTTACTTCTCTCATTCCATCTGAAAATCATTTCTAGGCTGAGTCGCTCATTCGACCACTACTACATTCCATTCCCATCCCGTTCACGTCGAACTAATAACGTTTCGAACAGCATATTTCACCACATGTTTGGTAAACCATTTACGCATATTGAATGTGGCGGGTAATCGAAAAGTTTCCGATTTAACGCGACTAAGGATGAAACCTTATGCGAGACATCAAGAAATTTACTCGGTGTCGCATGTGTAGGTCATTTCCCGAAATTTTAAATTTGTAAAATTTTTGGACGATATCAGATGAACAGATGTCTGCCTGCTCTGTTGAACTTTTGTATGAACATCGTATGGGAACCATCTGTTTGCATACTGGCACACTCACTTTTTGACATCGCGCAGATGATGTGTGGAGGTTGTGACTCGAACTCTGAACGATAAATTCCGCTGAAATGTTCGCGGTATCACCTACTCGTATTATGCCAACTCATGTAAATTTCCTTTCGTTATCATCTATGGTGCTCCCTCCGTAAGCTTGTGAATTCGGAAACTTTTTGGGGCCACCTGGTATTCAGGGTAACCCGTCTCAGAATGTTCAATGGATTAGGGATGAGGAGGCACAAAGAGCAGAAGCTAGTTGCTCTACCTGCCTATGTACACGTTCTGTGTACGCCTTACATTATTGTTGAAACTTCTGTCTTTCGAACGACGAATTGACGTTTTCACGATTCAAAACTATTTTGTTTTATTTCAACCTGGGCTCTAGAACCCACAGATATGAGTCGAGGAAGAGCAATGATAGAGTTCTTTTCATTCCCGCATGAATACATATCACATGACACTTTTAGAAGCATCAATGAAACATGGGGGCAATAGGACACAAGGGAAAGGGGGCATTATCTTGAATGATGAAACTCATGGGAACTTTTTGGCACCACTGCTGCTGGGATGACGCACAGATGGATCATCTGACTCGCTGCCCGACTCACGGCGCGACAAACGTCGATGTCGGCGTTCTGTTCCCTTTTTTGGACTTCCTGGGATATTAGAGACCCTTTGTCCCTCCTGGAAAGACCTCAAAAGCTGCTGGGACCTTGCTTCCCACAGCATGCTCTGCCTCTGCACCACATCTGGGTACCTGATTACCATAAACGATGCAATGTAAGTGCAGTAAAAAAAGAAGTGTAGGAGTGTATTGGTACATCAACTGGAGCATTAAAACAACTTGGGCCATTCATGTTTTCCCAAACAGCACGAGGATGAATGCTGAACTCACCCACAGACTGCTCTCGGCTACATTTTCAATTTTGTAATATACTGCCAGCAACACCAACGAGTTGAGCGATTTTGATGAAATTTGTTACATAAGCTCGAACTAGCATACTATGAAATCAATTAGAGTTTCAAGTGTGTGGGATGAATATTAATGGAGAAAACTTGCCAATTAATCCAATTTAAACATCAGCTATGGGTTCAAAATAATCGACCAAAACAGTTTTTATGAGGTTTTTACTGATGAAACATGGTCTACACTACCTTTAAGAATGAAAGAATAAGGGTGGATTTTTGAAGCGAGAACTATCTGATAATGCAGCTTTATTTCCAGGGAATATCATGTATTTTCCCTGGAATAAAGTTGCATTATCAGATAGTTCTCTCTTCAAAAATCCACCCTTAGTTATTTTTATTGCATAATATTTTTACCACTCTCATGATATTCACGGATATGATGGACATGTGGAGAGACTGAATGGAACAGATGCCAGCATGGCTTCTCCCATGCATAGTGATAATTCCAAATCAGCTCAGGTGTGAAGAGATGCTAATTGTTTACATTAGAAAGATATTTTGAAAATAACATTAACTGATTTATAAACATAAAGACTTCTCGTTCTCAAATAAATTTTCAGAATGTGTCATATCCAACAAGGTCACAAAACAGCCTAGCTTTCTTTTCTGAGTTCTGCAATCATGGGGTGACTTACACTTATTTCAGGTTTTCATTTTATCTATAGAATGAACATAATACTAAATTGATACGTTTTATTATAAAACAGAAATTTGACAATTAAAGCTACTTCAACCAGAGGTTCCATGAAATGTCAAGTCTGTCACATTTCTTTGCACAGAGATACACCTCTGGCAGAAGAGAGTATGCAAGACTTTGGCTAGTGGAATTTTCAGTCATTGCCTAAGGCTATTTGTTGCAGCTTTTATGTGTTGATTCGACATTTATAATATAGTTAAGTTCATTTTGTATATGAAATATATATTCAACTCTGGATGTCATGTCCCACACTTTGAACAGGCCCAGCTCCAACAATCACCATATAAGGAATGAATAGTCCAAAGCAGCCAACCATTAATTCCATACTCCTACAACACTCCCCACAGCTTCCCTTGAAGTACATGTTACAAGTTTAAAGTTTCAAGACCCCCAAAATACCTCATTGGCATATTCCCAATGACTCTTGAGAGAATCTGGTGAAGAGCGAAGAACAGGTAGTTGGTGTACTCTTTCAAATCCCTCTTCTTAAAAGGTGGAAGCACCACAATGATCTGGCAGATCATTGTGGTGCTTCCACCCTTTAAGAAGAGGGATCCATGGTGCTGTTTCAGATTCTAAGGTGGTTCAACATACCCTATGCAAACACAAGCACTCATTGATGCCCATTGCTTTCAGAGTCTCTGCCTGGATTTTATCCATGCCAGAAAACTTTCTGTTCTTCAAGCTAACCATAACTTCTTGAACTTCCTCCATATTGAGACTATTCTCAACACAGACAGGCTCTGAGTAGGGGGACATCCAAGTCACTGTAGATGAGTTTAAGAGCTCCTCAAAGAGTTTCTTCCACCTTCCAAGTAATTCGACTTTAGAAGCCAACACCTTCCTGTTATGGTCTTTCATGATCCAGAGAGCATGTTGCCTGCCTTGCTGAACCCTTTGAATGGTTCATCAGAACACCTTGTTTGCAGTGCGATGGTTATATTCCATCTTTTTGCCGAATTTCATCCATGCCTCCTGTTTCACTTTTGAAACAAGTCTAGAAGCAGTTTCTCATGCCTCTTTGTAAGACTCCCTTTGAAAGTAATGATCAACAGGACATACTGTATATGCCCTATGGGTTGCCTTCTTGGTGGCAACAACCAGCCTTACCTCTGATGTCCACCAGGGGGTCAGCCTGGTGTTACCACCTGCCACTCTGACTTGCTTTTTGCCACATACTTTCACTGTTGCAGCCAAAACACCAGATCGAAATAGATCCCATTTGATCTCTATATCATATATACCTGTACAGTGAGCACTTGGGAAAAACTTTGGTCGATCACTCTTGCCAAACCATAGCAAATTTAGATTCAAATAAAGTCAAAGACAAAGTTGACCAAAATAAAAAAGGAAGCTTCAACACAGATTTTCTTCCTGTAGGGATTGCTCAATTCTGATTAATTAAAAAACCTGTTAATTGCTATTTATGATGAATAGTTGAACTATTAACATTGAAAGACTGACTTGGAAATGAACTCAGCATCAAATGGGAGTTGGAATTCCCAGCCAGCACTTCCTTGAGGTTCTGCAACTCCCCGAAAGATATCTTCCAGCTCTTCGTTGGGAAGGCGGGTCACATGTGCCAACTGTTTTCTCTCCACATGTCTGGTTGTTGTGTAACGATAAAGCTGCAGCAAAAGACAAGAAAAAAAGGAAAACAACTTCAAAAGTGAAACAATTGGAACTTTCCTCTAGTAATCACTGTTTTCTTAAACCATAATCTACAACTATTTTCAATACTTTCATTTTCTTTCACTACAATAGTTGTGCACAGCCACAACTAGAAACAAAGGACAAACACTAACTAAAAATCCCTATGCATCTACTGTAAATAACTTTTATGAGGACATAGATATGGGTAAAAAATCTTTAAAATTTTATTTATGGCCCTACAGCTTCACTGGTGAAATGGATTTTCAAAATGATGGACTGACAAGGTAATCCCTGGCACGACACATGAGATCACTGGGGATCCCTGACTTGGCAGAGATGGTGTCCTTGGGGTAAAGGATATCAGAGCGCAGAACCCAGTTTCCCTGCACCAAGACACTGCATCCCTGCAGGGCCTTCAATGTTGATATCACCTCTCCAGTCCCAACCAGAGATAGCACTCCTTTGAAAGGAAGCAGCTTTGCTGCTCAAAAACATAAATCAATCAAATCACAAATCAATTTCAAGTAAATTTCTTCATGGTGAATGGGGGAAGATATAGAGGCTCATGATAAATCCATTCATATTGATCAACATATGGCATGAGAAACAAGGAAGGAAGTAGAGATATTTTCCACTACTGTATCAAGGTGTTTCACACATCCATTGCAACCTAATATGCAAGTATTTAAATGCACATCTAATGGGTAGAAGGTAAAGAGGAATTCAGCTGCAACATTTAAATTATAATGTAATCAGCTGTTGCATATCAAAATTGCAAGGAAATCTCTATGACCAGGTAAAAATTGAATTTAGGAGTACATAATATCCTTTTTTCTCTTTTCACCCATTGGCATATGAAGCCAGCAGTTTTCTGGCCACTATAACGATGCCCATTCCTACTAAACCAGCAATCCACTGGGTGTAGCTGGCTACTTGTTTCTTTAAGAAGAGTTCATGCATTTCTCCAAGAGATAGCACCATATGTTGCATATAGAACTGAACTGAACAGTGCTATATGCAACATATGTTGCATATAGCACTGAAGAACTGGAATACTAAATTCCTATTTTTAAAATCCTAATATGCTAAAAAATTTAGTTCTTGAAAATTAATAAGCCAATGGGTTAATCTGGTATAGAGGAAAGAATGGAATCCCTCTAGGACACCACATACCATTCCGCATGAGTGCCTCAACACGATTTGAAATAGGGAGCATCTGGAGAAGCTTCCGTGGCAGGTTTTCAAGGCTTCTCCCATGTGCTGCATTGTCCACAGGAGACTCTTCACTTCCCTCACTTGGTGTCAAGTGCTTCAAATATTCCATCAGTGGCAAGGACAACTCTCCTATCCAATCCTCCTTAGTTCCACTCACTAGGTGCATCCGTGTCAACTGATCATACAAAAAAAAGGGTTTTAGCAATGTCAAAAAATATATCTAATCATGAACAAATCACAAAACTGTTAATTGCATAATGAGCAAATGACCATGAACTCATGCAGATACAGTAATCTTAATCTCAACCTTAATACTTGAACTACTACAGAAAATGTCAGAAAATGAAAATAGCATAATGTCTATGGTGCCTTAACATGGTTACTCAAAGAAAGGAGGGCCATTCATCATGGAGATGGATATCACTTCCAATTCTAGCTGTCATCTGGACAGCCCTAGTTTATAGGAAATCCAATTCATGGTCTCTGAAGAACCTCACCTTCAGCCATTTCACTTACTCTTCATTCTTCCCCCTATATTTTCTATTCACAAACAAGGAAAGGTTTTTTCTGCATTCACACACCAACTTAAAAGGACACTGAGGGAAATTATGGGTGAAGAGAGAAGGAACTAAAAAGAAAGACCTCTGAGGATTGCGATGAGATGGAGTTGGTGTTGAGAGATACCCAGGGCTCCTCAGCAGCCTGGGTCTGCTGAGCATGGTATCTCCTTGTCTTATCCCGGATCCGCCTGCGATCTGATGCAAACTTCACAGTCACCATCTCTGCTTCCCCTTCTTCTTCACCTTCAAAGGAAACCAAATTGGTTGAAGGATTGTGCAAACATCTACACAACTGGGAGAAATACTTGATATGGGAAGTATTGCCATGAAAGTTTAGAAAATGTAGCACATAACTAGTTTCCTCTCTTAGTTACACCACACTAGAAAAACATCAAAAATTAAAATATGTATTTCTCACCCACTGCCATGCATTGAACTCCAATGCAAGAAACTCTCTCTGCTATCTGCCAAGATGTGACAGCTTTCTCAGTTGGACTGAATATCAAAAGTCTTGTAATGGCATTGGCCTATAATCAATTTTTTGCAATGATATTTCATGAGGACTTCAAAGGAACATCAAGAGAAAGGATGCTTGAGAGATGCAGACACATGACTCCAGAGTTCCAAGATACATGATATCTGTGCATCACAGTCTTTCTTTCTTATTCTTAAATTTATTAGCAGCTCTAATCTAGCTAATGTACTCTGTAAAGACCTCATAATTTGAATTGATGTGGGATATGACCAGTGCTCATGCAAAAGAGGGCAATTTAACTTGATTCATCCTGATCTGAACTGATGAATCTTCCTTTTCATATAGTGGAAGCAACTCACCTTCAGCACTGTCCTCTTCTTGTGCTTCCTTCTTCCTCCTTCGCTCATCACCCACATTTAAATAATCAAAAGATGGGCGCATGTGCAGGATGGCAGCCAAAGGGGAAATATGCAGGACCCCACCTGCCATTACACCAATGGCATAGCGGTCTGCATTCTGCACTGCCAACTTTGAGTCCAGCACCCGCTTGTCCATGTATCCTCTTGGGGGTGGAGAAATTTATTTCGTCTTACTCAACTTCTCTGAATCCTTCTTGTTAGCTATAATTTTCATACTAGTAAATCAAAATGTTTGTCTAGCTTGCATTTACAGTAAATGTAAACTCTTTGGAAACACATTCATAATATACCTATTCTACTCTGGAATAACTGACAAAGGGAGTCAGAAATGATATTTTTTGAAGTTTTATTGTCAAAACCATTGGTATTTTCAAGACAACATATAACACAAGTAAAACAACCCAAAATTGTTCATTACTTAGTATGTATTCATGTTGCTGCTTCTACTTTAAAGCATGGATATCACATAATAACTGTAAGCACGGCTTCAAATATGAGTTACTGTTAATCCCATACAGATAATAAATTTAAAGACTAGTCAAATCTCAAGATCCTTTCTCAAGAGTGTGTCTCTAAAGCCAATGAGAGGACCCAGTGCCATCATACTCAACAGCATGTTTTAAACCAAAAGTTTGAATGCCTCAATCTGATGACTGCTACTGAAGCTAGGGTTCTTCAATTAGATTTTCCCACCAATGAAGAAGGAATGCAGCCCTCCTTACCTAGGATACAAAGCTGTTGACGGAGGTGCATCAAGACCATCAACATTGATGGCAATCTGCTCTCCTTTACTCTGGTCATAATTTGGACTCTCTGTGTTCACAGCCAGGGTCAGCTCCAATCTCTTCTGCTTTGGTTTCACCCGGGCCTATGTGAAAATATAATACTAGCACTATTTCCTTCTGCTTGTCATGCATGGCTCATCATACCCCAAATACGTTCAATCAAAGAATTGGGCTCAAATCCATAAACCTCATATAGGGGATATAAAGGTGCCTTTAAGCAAAAGAGCTCTTTTTCTCCCATAGCAGTCCAAGTATTCTTAAAGGACCCTAAACTACAGGAGGTTTCAGATCAGCATTTGGGCCTTTGGAATTGGACCTGCCGCTTAGGACATGATGAGAAGTAAATAATAGCCCCCCCCCCAAAAAAAAAAAAATAAATAAAATAATATAATAATAATAAAAACACAATGGATTTGAGTGATCTTGATGAAATTTGATACACATGCTCATTCTAGCATACCATGAAATCATTTAGAGTTTCAAGTGTGTGGGATGAATATTAATGGAGAAAACTTGGCAAACAATCCAATTTCAATAGCGGCAATGGGGTCAAACTAATCGCCCGAAACGATCATCTAGAAGGTGATGAAACTGATGAAACGTGGCAGTAGAACTCCTAATGATGTGCAGAAAAATCGTGCGGAGTTTTGAGGTCGTGAGATGAGGCAATGAGGAGAAAACTTGCCATATTCCCGAGGAATTTGGGAAGGGGGCAGCGCCATTGAAGGCGCTTGTTTCCTGTTTCCTCCGCCGGCGAGTGTAGCAAACGCGGCGCGTTCGGGCCGGCAACACTAGTCAAATGATGCGACACGCAGTGGAGGTATCGATATCGAGTGCATCGGAGATCACGACCTGGAAGGACCCGCGCCCATAGAACCGAAGCGCGCAGCAGACCTACAGCAGAGGCGATATCGCATAGTTCCTATTCGTTCTGCGCTCTACAGGGTGTTCAGAAAGTCGCTCCCTATTTTAAAATTGTGACTATGTATGTCATTTTTTGACTGGAAGTAAGATTCTCCGTCATGGCCTCGAGGTGGTGATGAAGGGAGAATGCCTTGGATGCAACTTCCCATTTTCTCCGCCTCCACCCCTCATACTGCGCAGCTACTTGCGCACGGTGTCGAAGATTCAGGGTGACATGCACCAGATTCTTTTAACTTCAAACTGATTCGTTTTCATAATGGGCGTCTATGGGAATAAGTTTATCTCTGTTAAACTGATTCCCATAAGAGACCATAGTGAGGGGTCAGTACTTGGAATGCTGCTTCCACGACCGCCGACACCCATTATCCTTCCATAAACGTCGAACTGTGAAACCTGTCTCAGACGTCTTCTCCGAGAATGCCGATTACTCTCTTTCTTCTCTCTTCCGCCGATGCCGAATTTCTTTGTCCGTATTCGAACCCTTGATTTCATGACCAATGCGTTTCATTTCGACTACTTTACCACCACACCACCGTCACCACACGAATTCAGGAAGGTACATTTTAACACTCTAAGTGTTCTTCCCCATCCTTGATCTAAGCCCCCAGGAATGCCGACCAAATGACTAATTTCAGTTACATTTTGATGACTGTAAATATTTAAAGTTGTATGGAACCATTTGCTTACTTTCCTTAGTCGATATTTTTCTAAAATGTGCGATGTTGTTGAGATATCAAATAATTTTGTGAATGACACATCACCGAGAAATCTGCCTTTTTTCCCCCTTTGGCTTGCCTCGTGCATATAGTTTTGTCGCTGTGTCGATGAAATGTAAAACCGTAATAGCCCGCCTGATGAGCTTGTCCTCTTATATGTGAAGAGTTATAATGCAACCTGAAGTTTTTTTCCAGTGTGCAAGGTTGCATCGCATGTATGAGTCTACAAGATGCTTCCTCAGCCACGGTCGTTGTTTATCCAAGATCACTCCCTTTTATACACTTCGCCGAAGAAACCTTGCCGGATGTGTCAGATGAGGGGGGGAAGGAGAATGCAAAGAAAAGTGTTTTTTACGTCGGCATTCAAGGATAGTGCCCCAAAGGGACGTCCTTTTCCGCCGACCTGTCCCTCTATGCCGAAATTCGACTTCGGCATTCCCGGAATCATCTAGAGTGGAGACATATTTTTCTTCGTCCCAGTCGGCATTAAAGGACAACCTCCATCGGCATTCGCGGACTAGTGTAAAATCGGCATACACGGAAGACTGAAAGTTCGGCATTCCAGGAGCTTCCCCATAGTGAGATCAGATTAGTTTCGCTTAAACGAATCCGGTAAATGTCACCCTCAATGTTGCCACCATGGAGGTTCGCTGCAAACAAATCAATCATAAAATCCTATCGAATTCTATTTCTTTCCACACAAAAACCATTGTTCCGAGTCCAAAAATTACAAACGTTGTTACCTCGTAAAACTTAAAAAAAAAGGAATGACGTTCCAAAAATCCTGTAGATCGGTTTTAAAAATTGTCCACCAAAAGGACGATGCCCTAAGGTGTGAACCGGTACCTCTGCAATACCTCTTCAGGAAAGCACTGCTCCAAGTCGATCATGAAACACACGCTCCTTGGCGTCAAGTGCTTCAACTGAGTTCGGGCGAGGCTGCTCATTCACTACTTTCTTTACATCCACGGAAACATTCAGGACAAAAAAAAATTAAAGTATTGTCTGTGGACATAGTGAAGCAGTAAGGAAGTGTGTCGAGCCAGCGGGATGTTCCTCTTCGGTGCTAATGGAGGTTTAAAGTAGGGTCATCGTAGCATTAAACTAATAAGGAATTTAATGCTGCGTTAGGCTAATTTCTTTTCATGCAATCCACATTAAAAGTCTCCCTAAAGTAACTTTAACTCCACCCCTTATGGAGGTTTAAAGCTGGCATTAGGCTAAAGTCAGTTTCATGCAATCCACCCGAGATCTCAGGAGGCAATTTCAAGTTGTTAGGAATGTTTCATCGATGTAGTCTAATTTGGATGCATGTATCAGCTTCATGCATCAGGCTGATGCATGCATCCAGTTGATGCGTGGTAAGCATCCCAATTACCTCTCTTAATGCAGATGAGGCTGCAAAATCCAGTATTTGTGAAAGAATCATGGCTGTATCGATTTTTACACCGGAGACCGGGCATCGACCGATTCAGGTGTTTTCCATGAAACCGGAAAAACCGATATTTGGGTCTGCTGGTTTTACGGTGTTTTAACCCTCGTATGACGGAAATACTTTTTCTTACAGTCATAACGGAAAGGGGTCAATCCTGACTCCAGAGGAAGAAATAACACATCTCAAGATACATATTGAATATTTGCGGGTAAACACTGACAACGATACAAAAGCTTTAAAAATAAGCAAAAAATAACTGCGATTATAGATTGATTTTTCAATATAACGCAAAAGCACATATTGGGGTTCAAAAGGACCCATTTCCGTCCCGAAGGTTAATATTTTATTTTATATTTTCACGATCAACATGCATCGCATCTCTTCCTCAATTTCCTGGCATTTCGTAGCAGGCCGGGGAACTCCTACTAATAGTGGAAGATGCGATCTGCATTTATTCCAGAGAACGGAATATGAATCTTGATAGCACATGGTCAGAAGCGAGGAGCCGTCGGGAGCGAAACTTCACGCTAAATGGCAGAGGGCTAAGGAGCATGAGCGAAAGGCAGCTAACTACACCCCCATTGAATCCTCAAAGAAGCGCTTGCTGTTGAATTTTTCTTAAACAAACGCATAAATCTTGAATAGGCCTGCTTCCATTAAATTTGCTGAGAGGCAGCCTTCGTGTGCAGCAATATGGGCCCGCGCTGAATGTAGGTTACGCTTGGCCTATCTTAGCCTACGCCTTGTTTTTTTTTTCAATTGTAGTCATGAGGAATGCTAAGGCAGTAGTTACATAGATTCAGACATATGCCTCGAACCAGAATTGATGTAAATATCTTCCTTGCGAACTTTTGTGAAAACAGGATATGACATGGATATATGGCTAGTTTTCTTGTGGTTTGGGGCGCTATTTGTTGTAGTTTTCTTATTTTCGATAAACACATGATTTCAATAAACAAGTAATATAACGGTATTCCACTATGTTCAATGCAGAACTGATGCACCAAATTCTACATATGTAGTTATCGAGATGACACTAACTCTCCAAAAATGACCAAAAACAAGCACAAAGACTGGTATCGAAGTAGGGTCTTTTCATATCAACTCAACCAAGGTGGTTGTTCAACCAGTACAGATTTACTTGAAATTTGGCACATATGATGTCTTATGAGAAGATAAGTGTGGTTAAAATTCAGTGTCATCAGTCAAATGGTTTTGAAAGTATTGCCTCCCAAAATGTTGGGGGTAAGGAGGAAAGTGGGGACAGCCCTATAATCGCTGGCTTCTTTACTGGTTGTCTCTTCAATAGCGTGTCCGTGGTCGCCTAGTCCTAGCACAGAGAAGAGATTGAACTATCCGAGGATATACACATTTTTCTGGTCAATGCAGGTGCTGAGAATATTGATCTCGAGAAAAGAGCCGCAGCACATTGGGAGAGTAGTCCGTTCCTTCATTCAGAATGAACTTGCGTTTAAAAATGCGAAAAGAATTTATCTGAATTCCGTGTATGGTCCTTGTAGCTCTTGGAGTCCCAGTCCTCTCAGGCCTCAGCGTTGTCGGGTGAAACGGTTGAAGTTAAATAAATGAAAGCTGCTCTACGTGAGTGTTCAATATTTATCATTTGTAGTGATCATATTATAGAGGAAGACGCACTCGAACGTCCTCTTGGCTACACCTTCTCCAACATACTATAATGTATATGAATCATAGATGCCGATTTCATGAAGGATGCGAGAAGTTACGAAGCAATATCAGCGGAGAAAATTATTATCTCCATGGGGCGCTAGATTTAGAGCATGGTTAATTAATTATTCTAATTATTTTTATTTAATTAATTATGAAATTTTCTGATTAATCAATGATTAACGTTGGGCTGCCGGTTTTGGGCATAAGCCCATACGGGAAAAAATTCACAAGTGGTTCAATTTTGCGATTGAATGTGCCTCGTTAAATTCGCGAAATTGAAGTGGGCAACATTTCTCACTGAAATGTTTTTTTTTTTCATGTTGCATAGTTTCATACCCCCCCCCCCCCCTTGCAGTTTAACCAAATGACGTCCCTGATCTCCGTGACTATTCATGTCGACCTACGAGCGAAACTACGAAAAGTGGATTGGCTGCCACGGGCTGAGGATTTCTCGTGACAAATGTAAAAAAAAAGTCTGCTTGCCAATGTCTAAGGATTGGAGTATCCCAGTTTCAGGTTTTACTCCGTTATTCTTAGACAGGAATACGCATTCATATCAAGGAAACAGTATGAGAGGAGTGGAAGACATTCCAGTGTAGCGAAAAACTGCTGCTGCTTAGTTTCCTGTAAAGCAGAGGAACTCGAATTTTTTTGGTCGGGGGTAGCATCCAGACTTAACTTATTTGGGTCGCACTAATAAAAAAATTACTCTTTACTGAAAAGTACTTTTTGCCTTCGCGGGTCACAGTTTGGGTGCTGTAAAAGGTGGATGCCTGTTAGGGGTGGTTTTGGCCCTCTTTCTATAATTTATACTTGATATATTCTACTAGCGTAGGCCAGAAAAGTGGAGTGCTCCGGTCATTTATGCAGGAAATTTAGCATACAAGGGGCTGCAAAAGTTGCCCTCAAAAGGAGCAGCCTCACGTTTTGCTTATTCATGAAACTCTTCCATCTTTACCATTCACGTGCATGGCGTCGGTGCTCATGGCCTACAGTAATCACACTTGGGCATGTTACAATTACTGTATATCAATCTACTGTATGCTCAGAATATTACAATTTTGCAGATTCCTGGGTTGCAACAAGGAAGAATGATGAATGAGACAAGTAAAAATTCAAAAAATCATACATGATTGAATAGACAGTGATCCATTTTTCGGCATAAATAGTTGCACAAAATTAAGTCACTGTGTTTCACTTATTATTTAAAAAAGAACTTTTTTCATATGCAAACAAATTTGCAGACTTAAAGTGGGTTTCAATAGAAACAAAATATGTAGGTATTTTTTTTTTAGCAAATAACCCATTACTGAACAATTAAAAATAAAGGCATGTTCTGCAGAAAGCAGGACACTTTCTCCAGAACAATGGTATGCCTCACATCTCTGCCTTTTTGATACAGAAATGAGCACTAAAACCATTTGCATATTTTGCTTCTGAAGGCACATACCTTTCGGTTGAATAGTTTCCTGAACTTGTATTTGAGTCAATGGGAAATAGTTTCTAATTATGCCAACTAATGACAACAATTACTTACTTTAATAATAGACATGAGGCTGTGAAATAGAGTTCTTCCAATTCTAACTACCATGAACTAAGGTCTAAGGTTTTCTCATCCTAAATATTATGTTCTCCTATTCAAGGACCTCCAAATATATTAATGTATATGTTAGGAGAAGGCAAAGAGTTGCAATTTTTGCAACTGCAATTGTGCAGCACATGAAACAGTAATGGTAAAGCCAGAATTTTCCAAAAAAAAAGGGGACATTTTCAACAATAAGACTAATATTTGCCACCTCACAGCACCTTTGGGGTGGAGCATCTTTAAACCTGTCATTCAATACATGAAGGCCAGACAAGAGGTGAATCATTTCCTGCTGAAAACAATTTTTTATCAACCACAATCCATATCTTCAATATTTGGGTGTTGAAACCCTTCCCTTATGGGCATACATCCATTGCTTGAGAATTGCTCGTCAGAGGTCCCTAGAAAGGGACATCCAAGTTAGAGCCACAAAGACTAGCTTGACAGGCTGCATTTTACTTCTAAAATTCCATAGAACAACATAGGCCTGACTTAGGAGTGAAGCAGGAGCAAGATGAAACAAAAACAGAAAAAAAAAAAAACAAGAATAAGAATATTACAAGCTCACACCAAGAAATCTATTTGTCATAACCAATGGCCAATGTGCTACCTTAACTTCTCAACTTTCAAGTTTACATTTTTAGAGTCAGCACTCATAGGAGTACTCTTGGGTGCAACAGTCAAGGGATTAGATAGATCACCATGAAGAAAACTTCAGCAGCCATTTTGTATTTATACAAATTTACTTCAATTAAGCCCCATAATAACCAACAGGTTGCATAACATAACTGTATAACAATGAGTTCTTCAAATGCAAAATAAGGGAATCCTTCCAAGCTAAATGATTGACCATTTATGAGGAATGTTCACTATAAATGCATCACACTTTGTTTGTCCATAAGAGTCTCAGAAGCTTTTACATTCTGCCCAGTATTTATCTCAAACAGCTAAACATTATGTAATCTTAAAATAATACACTTCAAACTGGCAAAGCTAACTATTTTTTATGAAAAATGTAGATAATGTGCACCTACTAATAGCAATAACAGAAACAGAAGTAATGACAATAACAATAACTAGTAATTACAGAAGTATATTGGTACATAATATAAGCATACACCTGGAAAGGAAACTCAGATGAAATGGGATACTGTGAGGGATTTCAGAAGGAATAATAGCTCTTATTTACAAGATTCACCTTGTATTTTTAAACATTTTATTGCAGGTACAATAATTTCCAATTCCTTAAATGATCTAATGTCAACACCAGTATCAACACATAAGTGTCTGCCAGTTTTACTGGAACTTTTGGAGCAAATATCAAACTATTGCATATCTGACAAATTTAAGTCTAACACAATTTAAGTTCACTTAAGCCTATGCATGGACTACCCAATGGATAAGCTTACACAAAACTCTGGCATATTTTGGTGGCCTACAATAATGATTCAAGATAGGTGACATGTTTCCATAACTGGATATATATCTACTTAGGGCCCATCATCCAAACACAAGGAGTGACAGCAAAGGATAAAACCAAGTGAGACTCATAGGCTAACAGTAAATTGTCTGTTGCTACCTGGATTACATGTGAATCATCATAGGAGAGAGATGCAGGACGAACAGGATACTGAATCAAATACAGTTTCTCCTCCATACTCTTGTTCAGGTAAACTGGGACCTATGGAAGAAATGAAACTTGTTGAATGTTGAATGAAAAGCAACAAATAACATATTCTATGCCAGGTCTTTGAAGGCTAAGCAGAAGGAGTTTTGAATAAGGCAACTTTAAAGTAGGCCCATTTTTTATCCTAGGCCTGCTAGCAGGAAACAGCATAGCTGTACAGTGAATTTGAATTGCATATGGTCAAACATTTACAAATTAATTTTGTACTGTACACAGCTAAAATTCCCACTGTAAGACACAATATGATTCTAGTGGACACAGGGTGCTCCAGGGCCTGCACTCTGGAATAGCCTCTCTGCAATCCTCTCCCCATCTGCATTTCAAATAAATTCTATCCTTGAGGGACTCAATTATGTTAAGGTACATTGGGGCTCTCTTGCCATTGGGGTTCTTCAAAGTCCCACACCTAAAGGCAAGCCGAGCTTTCTCAAACGCCTGGAGTAAAATACGAGCAGCTTGGTTGATATTGAACCTGGGTTCTCTGCCACGGGACACATGGTACCCAGCTACCACACGAACCATTCACTTGTCCCAGTAGTAGGCCGAGGCGAAATCCTTAATATAAGCCTTGAGAGACTAAGAGCCCACATTTAATGAAATTAATACATAAAATGAAAGTTCCTAGACTCCCAGGAATTCATTCCGCTTGCATTGTAGGCTTTCCCGGCAAAGCCTACGTAAGCCTAATAGACTAATGTTAGGTGGCGAAAATGACGAACTTCGGCAACAACAGGATCATCTGCCTCCTCCTCTTCGCTTCCTGACATGATGAGACAACGCTGACTGTTACTTCAGAATTTTGCACATGAGGTCAACGACACTACCGTGAAGTCTAAAGGTCTCAGCATACGGAAAACCGAAGTGATTCTCAACCTGAGTGCCGCTAGAGGCTGACAGGGGTGCCGTCAGCTGGCAATTACTTTCGCAAATGGTGGGAACACTTATATAATATGGAATCTGTGCTCGAGCATCTAAAAATCCCATTAAATTTTGGCATGTGGTAGGATTACGGTGAACGTAGTGATGAGCCAAAATCGCTGCAAACGAGGGTTGAGATACGGAGTTTTAAAATTGCTACTGGGCCAAAAAAAAAGAGCGCAAGCTTTCAGCATTTATATTTCCCCCTATTATTGACTTTATTAGTACAATCACTAACTAACTTTACAAATTGAAAGCAGAAAAGTTAAGCGGAGATCATAATACCTCAAAATCACTTCGAATATTGGCTCAAAGACCCCCCCCCCCTCCCCCAATTTGACACAGTAGTCATGATTCCCTCACAGATAATAGATTGACATTTTTGAAATATAGGAAATTTTTTATGTTAAAATTCTCCAACGAAACAGATGTATTAATTAAGTCAGCAAATGTTTGTATTCCCCCTCCTATAGCTTTAATGTGAAATATGAACCAATTCGTAAGGGCAAGGAGCAAGAAAATTAGCATCTTGGGGCAGAGGTCACTTTTTGCTTCTGGAAAATATCAAACTCTGGTATCTCGGCTTCTGTTTTCCGTACGACTTTGACTCTGAGCTTTTCACTTCATAATTCAACTGCATGCAAAATTAAAAGTTAATTATTAGATGATCGAGCAGGGAGAGACACGTTGGCAAGAAACTCCTAGGCCAGAAAGGCGTTGATCCTTTTTTTTTCATACCCTGTGCATACACGCGTATATATAAGGTGGTTATTAACAAAAATGGAGATAATGAAGATATAGGTTCAATATTACTTGAATTAGAAGTCTTAGGTTCTTTCTGTTATTGGAGGCTATTTAACGTTCATAATATAGAAACAGGAGAACTTCGTGATTTCGATGAACTTCGGGGTCTCCCCAAACACGTAAAGGAGAGAAACAAACTATTCTCGATCTGTTGAACCGTGCAGGTAGCAGGCGTTGGAAGGGATTCGGATGGAGAGGGTGTCCCCTGATTCCCTGAAAAGTAAGAGAACCGGGTAGGATGTGATGGTGGAGGATGCGATGTCGACGGTCTCTCCCACGCGCGAGACACGATACTCCGAGTTCCACCGGATTGCAGTGGCACTGATTCTGAAAATGTCCTAGAAATGATCATGCATAATTTTCCAAATGCATAAATCCCTTTTGTTTCCGCTCGATGGTCTTCCTTGCCGAGCTGCAGTACTCTCGTTGTACACTTCTCTCGTTGGAAAACCCAGGAGTCGGGTGGAGTCAACACCATCGGTTACGGCATCGACGAGGCAATGCATCTTTCAGCTCGTAATTTCGGCCTGGTATGCTCATGACGCATTAAAACAAATTTGTGAGATGTTCTGCAATCGTCTCCACGATGGAGAGAGACAGTGATGAGGTTTACTAATTTTCAGAGATGACCGAGTTTCGCCAGAATTGCATGTCATCAACAACGAGCCACGTCTCTTTCGGCTTCCATCCCATCTTTCATTAATTCATCTACCTACAAACTTGCAGATGCGAAATAGCATTCTCTCTCCCCCCCCCCCCCCCCAAAGAAAAACCTTGTTCACTACAGGGTCGGCCTTAGACATGTACCACATGTACCCCCGCACATATTCAAATTCACCAGGAAATGAATTCATTTGAAATGAAATTCATGAATGGAGCAATAATGGATCCCACCCTCAGTTTTACTTGAGAAAGTGGAAATGCCTTCCGTTTCAGCGTCTTTTTGGAGGCTTGGGATTGACCCTTCTTCCTTTCGGGGGGGGGGGGGGGGGGGGGGGGGGGGGGGG